TTTAAAATTTAAATCAAAATTCTTTTCTGCTGCTAAATATAAATCTCTGTCTCGTATAAGTTTATTAAAAATTGATTTGGCATCTGGCTAGACTTGAATATGGGGCCTGCTGGTTCGTAGGGAATACTCGTTATACCGCGGAACACGTTCATTACTAACATCCAGTTTTTACGTTACTCCTATCGCTTCGATCCAATCTCCACTACAGAAATCAATTCAGGCAACCCGTCAGAACGTCAGAACCAATTAGAATATCATTTTTCAGATCCCGTTCCGCCTTTCTCTATCCGTCTACATGCACTTTTTCTTTTCCACCGATCTGGAGGCGTCAAAGTGCACGCCCTCGGTTCCCTTTCAATTACAAGACAAATGACTCTTTTGTGTTTTCACCTACGATCCCCCCACAGAGGCGGAGAAGGAGGTCCGCGCTGTACGACGCGCGTCCACGCGTCTCTAACAAACGGACACCTCGCGATCGCAATAAATCACGGCGCAACCTAATTAACCGACGGACCAGGCCTATAATGGAGGCTTCATTACCACCGAGTACGCTAATTACGTGAATCCACGACCAACACACAAGCCCCCTCTCCTCCCCCAGCCCTAAGTAGACACACGGGCCACGATTTCGTGTCGTTCTATCTTTGACTGCTGATGGTTCTGCTGAGCCCTCCAATTAGCCTATTCGTACATCGTTGCCTTGTACTGTTGCCGTGCTACAAATCAAGGTGGATCTCGCCCGGTGGCATATCATTTGAAACGTAACCATCGTGAATTTTCAATTAATCATTGAAATTCACCTCTCATATATACATAATACCGTTGCATAGGCGTAGCAGGTGACCCTCCTCCCCAAGAGGAAAAATTACGTAATCGAATCGGAACACGTCTCATATCTCAGCGTGCGTCGTCGCGGACCACGTCACACCGGTTATGTTCAATGGTTCCCCCGAAGCTGTAAAATTGGCGGCGCTTTATCAAACTTTTTGTTACAAGAGTCTAGGGTGGCGAGGACGCTATTTTTCCACTTACACGCTGTCTGCCGTTCCTTTATCGCGAGTGCCAATGCATGAATGCAATTTCGCGAGCGCGTAACTCGCTGATGCCGGGAACGACGACGACGACAACGCGATACGGGCCCGGGGACAACAAATGGAAGAAGTTATATGAAGAAAGTTAAGCGAACGAGAGAATCCCCGGCCCGCGCGTTATCTCTCCGGTGGAACAAGGGAGGGGGACGGTGCACCTCCTGCATTCGATTCCGGGGGACGAGCAATAAACAAACGTTGGAAATGGTGGAAAGAAAAAGAGGGATGGAGAACCGTGCCACCAGGTGAGAGGGAGACAGAGAAAGAGAGAAAGAGAACCGTGTCAGTTTGGGTTGCGCGGAGGATCGAAAACACGCGCTCGCAGCCGATTAATATGATAAAACCGGGCCCCGGGTACGTGAACGTTAATTGTTCGTTTTGGAGTGCGGGATGCGATTACGTTGATTATAAAACACGGTGTAATTTCGTCGTTCACCATACACCCCCACCCCCTCGGTAATTACGCCGGCCTTTATATTCTGATCTGGAAACAACAAAGCGTCACGACGCGGAATTTACTCGTAATTGCGTATTCCGGCCCGGGTAATCGCTCGTTATCATTTTCTTTCGCGATCGAACGAGGAATTAGTGGTATAACCTATGGCACACCGATTGCGATTAGCTATAATTCTCTATAATATGGTCTCGATTTCGTGGCCATAGACTACTTAACCCTCAGACACCGATGTCTATTTAAACAATTTCTATAATTATCGTTTTACTAATTGAGACGTTTCAGTCTAAAGACAGATGAATAGGGGTCTGTCTGGACCCAGGTACCACCGTCTATTTGATTATCAAAAATGTCCACCTTCTGAGGGTTGAATATTTCACCTTAATAACTAGGACAACGTGGAAGACTGTCGATACAAACACTCTGAGAGATGCTTTCATGGGGTTCAGCTGAAGTCCAAACACTATGGAAGAAAGATATTTAATTAAATCCCAGGGGATGTTGTGTGGTTCGTGAGAAGGAACTGGACGGAGTTATAAAGAAATGTGGGACGGAAACGGAACGTAAATAGGCTGGGTTTCCCCCAGGGGGATAGATTCTACTGGGAGAGAAGGTAGGATAAGCGGACCGTGATATCTGATGATTTGATAGTTAAGAAAGTTTTGCAGCGCGAACTTGAAACTTTTCGTTGGGCGAGTAAAGACTCGCGAGTAGTTGCCCTACCCACCCCTCGAAGGTTAAAGAGACCTTCTGTTGTCGACCGGGTTGAAAAGAAAAGTTTATCTGGCCCCGTGATTAAAGAAGCCTAGAAGTTATCCTCACGGATCTACGCACCGGTATGCCTCCGGGTACTAACGGAAGAAAATTGGAACGGCCATAATGAGATTATAAATTAAACTCGACGAATCCGTACTCTCGAGGAATTACGAGATTAAGACGGGGTGAAGCAAGTTCTTGAAAGATAGAGGCCACCCTTTGAACGTCGCTAAGCTAATATATATCCCACTAAGTTATTACGGATCGGTGGAACATTAACGTATTAATGATAAACGTTCGTCCTGACATTTATTGGGTCGAATACAGTATATACCCTTTTTGCAGACCTTTCCTAAAAAACCTGACAATCATAAAGAGCAGTATAGATAATTTTGCGATAATCGCAAAAAGGTCGCGAATTTTGTTAACAATTCCTCGGGGAATTGGGGCATTTTAACGATGCCGCGGAACTTTGCGTACACGCCGCGGTTATTCGTTCAGCGCGTCAGACAAGATTACCGCAAATGCTGGGCCAGCCACGTCCAACTAGTTCCCTGATAATACGCTAACTTGCCGGGCGATGATGATATAAGCTAAAATAAGGTCTTAAACCGCTTGCGTCGAAAATACACGAGGCGATAGCTTGAGGTGTCGAGCAACCATAACTCGTTGCGTTCCAGGGACAGGAAACGAATGAATCGCGTACCGTGAGCGAGCGGGTTTGATTATAAATCCTTCACGTCGAGAAGAAATAATCCGTTGAAATCAGGATCTTCATTCTGAGCGGTGCAGGATCTGACGATTTAGACGTCTGCCGCGCGGCACGTCAAATAGTTAACGCACATTTCCTGTAACTGTTGCGTAAGAAAGCATCGAATCATGCGTTGTGTGATTAGTACTTATCTTGGTATCATTGAATATTTTCTCAAAAATTAGTGAATTTGTATTCTATAGCAGAAGAGTCATTGGACGCGAAATCAGACACTTTTTGGAGCAATGTTTCGGATTCTGTTGAAACTGGATACATTATGGTTTTTAGTAGTATAGGATAGAAAATATAAGGATTTTTGAAGATTTTAAAAATTGTTTCATTTTAAAATAGATATATGTTAACTATTTATTCTGTAATTGCTTTAAAAAAATTCCATTTTATAATAGCGGAACACTACTGACAAATTTGAAAAAATGCAAGATATAGTCCTATGTGTCCTCTTTATGGACAAATGTTAAAAAATTCTTGTCCAAGTTTCAATAAAATCCAAAATGTTACTCTAAAAAATGTCAGATTTCGCGTGGAATGACCCAAAGATAAACTCTTGAGAAGCGTAATATATTGAACAACAATTCGTAAGGGCTAAAAGATTCATCAAGGAGAATTTCATTACGAGAAATGATCCATCAGTATCGTGACCCGGGGATCGTAAAGCCGATTCGACCTGGACCATAGATCCCATTGTGAGAGGATAAAGTGCGCCGTGGTTGACGTGAAACAACGCGCGCCGCCGGCAAATTAACTTTTCCATTCATAATTTACGGGAGGGGGGCCTGAATGGCCTCGATTAATGCGCTGGCATTAAATCAATTGCGCTAATGCGCCGCGCTGCATAAATACGCGGGGCTCGTTAAAAAGAAAAATTAATGCTGTCCGTCCGCGCGAGCGTGCGGCGCTGGGCCGCGAAATCGCGCATTTCCGCCGGGTCGTTAAGTACGCTAACCCCCCTCTCGTAACGAAATTATCGGGGACCGGCCGAAATCGAAATTAACATCGACGGGGGACGCTGTCGCTACAAAGCCTCCACTGGAAAAATGACCGAATCATGTTTGTCACAGGGAAAATTGGGCTCGCGATATCGATAAAACTAGATAAGGATCTAATCCTTAGGATTGTTCGTATACTCGATATATTTGAACGATTTTAAAATTATTTATAAATTAAATATTTCTTCGTGTAATTCAATGGTTCCGATCATCAATGACCACCATAGTCGTCAATGTGTTGAGCAAATTGTTCCAGCTAGATCACTTAGGAAATTCCAACTAGTCCATCTATGCACGCATACGATCAACTTTTTCCACTAATTGAACTACCATTCTCCGTAGTACTTTATTAATACTATCCACATACCGGAGTGAAATTAAGAAAACGAGAGAACAATGGCTCTACGCCCGATCCCATGGCGCATAAATCTCTTTGTGGAAGGGAGCTCGACTGGATCCACTAACGAAAACGCGTCAGCTCGGAGGGGGGGAAGGGTGTATCCAATTACCGGAACGATGCACGCGCGTTTCATTGTGCGAAAAAGCTGCCGCAACAAAATAACCGGGGAAAGTAACGAGAAACGTCGATTTAACTGCTCGTGTCCGATCGGTCAATTTAACTGTTCCATATCTGCGACACGCGAGACCAGCTTGAAACGGTCTACGCGGCGTAAATTGTCACCCTTGCGCCGAGAGCGGGTTGTTCTTTCTCGCACCGAAATCTGTTAACAATAACATGGAAATCGGGATAGACAACCGTGTAACCGTTCAAGTAAATCCTCCGGGTTAATTGTATTTGATAAAAGTATGACGAGCTTGTCGATACAAACGCCTAAAAAAGACACGGCCCAGGTGAACCTGATACCAAAGAACCTTCCACAAAGAAATATAGATAAAAAATTGAACGCCAATGTATTCATCATCATCATCATCGTAAGACTCACCGGAGGACAGCTTGGACCTCTGCAACAGCCAGGTCTGCAACGCCAGCCGTTCCCTGTGCCTGCAGAAGAACTCGGGCCTGATACCGTGCCTCTTGAGGAACTCGTCGCACTTTCGGAACGCTGCGAGCGCCTTGGCGGCCTCGACCTCGTCGATGTCCGCGAGAACGTTCGGGCACGAGCTGCGTCTCGAGGACGAGGATCGTTCCTCGTACGTCTCATCGGGCAGCAGCATACCCATTCCCGTTGGATAAGCTACACCTGGGTAGCCAGATTGCGCCTCGATTCCCTCGTCTTCCTTTCGACAGGTGTCCTCGGTGTTCTCGCCGGTCTCGTAACTTCCAGCCCCCGGCACACGTCCAAAGCACATATTAATCTCTGGGCCCTTTTGGCTCAGAAAACCGTCTCTAATCGGCCAAGGAAACGACGAGGCGTCTCTCGTGGCTGCCTCGGAATCAATCCCCCTTTCTCTCTCTCTCTCTCTCTTCCTCTTTCAATCCCCTCGATCAGAGCTCTTAACCTTCCTACGCTCGCGAGCAAACAGTTAATTATCCGTGTCGCCGGTGTCCACCAGGCTCTCTTTACGACACCGCGGTTTTAATGAGACCTTATAGCGATTAATAGGATTTCCTATCTTGAAGTGGAGGACGACTCTTTCATCTCGAACGCGATCCTTCCCCTCGGCTGGGGCCGATCCTGCTACGTTTAATTGAATCGAATCCCTACCGATCGGTGCTTCCTTGAGAAACGAAAGCATCCTCGACGAGCGGTCAAGCTTTGCGCGGGCCCTTGAGCTCAGAGATCGACTCCTCCAACGGCTACGTGGCTCGAATTTCGAGGATAAGTTTCCACCCCCCTCACAATTTCGTAAATTGAGCCTGGGAAAACGGGGATCGATCCCAGAATCCACGTTCGCCTGCGATAAATGTTTTCTTTCGCTTTCACCGGAGCATCCTCGGGATGGATCGTCGACTTGATCGATCTCACGGAGACCTGAAAATGACAATAATTCACTGCGTAAGTGATGATAATTTAATTAGGTCAGAGTTTCGAGACTTTCTCGACCCGGCATCATACAGTTATTACTGTTAGAGTTTTCGAATGTAAGCTGATCAATTAAAAATGTCTTTTAATGAAAAAAATGACAACGGTTTTGAGTCGATAATTAATTGCGAGGGGGCCAGGAATGAATTTGTACACCTAATAGCTGATAATTCTACGCGGAGGAACGGATCGATCGATCCTGTTCGCGATCGTAAGACCCTGAAACGCGAAGGTCGACTCTCTCTCTGTATTAACTGCCCGTTCTTTGTCCGGTTTTACGCTGACTCAACGAGGGGATGAAAGGGAACGCTAACGTAATTTTTTCCCCCGACGCGAACAGAAAGGAAAGCTTTTTTTAGTGCCCTGACGGTAAAAAGCACCGTTACGGTTAATAGTAGGCCGCCTTGGAATTCCTCCCCAACGCGCGCACGCGCCGGCGCGCACGAGAATTGATACATTTCCCCCCGTTTATGAGACACGAATAAAACAACAGCGGCTCCAAGGGTTATGGGAGGGATATATCCGTGGATTATGGTAGACAACGGGACGATTTAATAGCGCGACCATTCCCATTTTACCGGCCAACAATAAACATATTAACGGTTCCGTTACCACCGCCGCCGAGCCACGATTAACAACGTATATTTTCGGCGAACACAGCTATATTTTATACGCATATCTCCGGGGTTCCATAGTTACGGCACCAGCTTTGAAAACCGAACAATGATCGTAATGAAATGTAATGCTCGTTGAATATTTTCACACAGGTAGTTCAGAGCTTGGAGGAGAAACAAGTGTATACCGAGCTTGTTTCACGGTTCCCCAGAGAAGGACTAACACCGTGAACGATATCGTCGTAATATAGGATCCGTCCAGAGCATTAATTAACCGAAACATGGCGTCGATTTGGCCGCCTAAAGAATCGCGACAAGCCGTGCCGGTAGCGCTGACGATCATTCGACACGCGAACACGACGACCCTCCAATTAATCCTGCCTTAATCGTCGATAAACCTTATTATTCGTCGACAGAAACTGGCTTCGATATTTTAAGCGTCCCCCACAAATGCATCCAGAATCGGACCGAATATGCAGAAAGCTACAACAACCCTTAACGATCTGAAATGAAATTTTAGTTTGAAGATTTTAATTTTTCAAAAAATCAGTAGCTTTATTTCTATTGGGTGTATTGTCACCCATATAGACTTGACCCTTGTCATTTTTCATCAAATATTGATGTTCAATCCAACTACCAAAATTTCCAACTGTTCCATTCACCAGTATCACTGTAACCACTCGTAGCAGCGAGAGGGTTAACTCACTAAGATCTTGCAATTTTACAATTTACATAACAACATTGATCACCTTTTCAAACCATCAAAGCCAAAACAACGCGCACAAAATACAGGCATCGCTAGGACCCACCTGTCCAGATGGGCCTACATTTTACGAGCACAAGCTGGATCGTTTCCACGGGCCTGTACCGTCCCTGATCTCGTTAACCGAACGATCCATTCGTCAGGCGACACCCTCGAGCAATCCTGGGTGTACACACGCTGTGAACGTCGCTTAATGGGATGCATAAAGAGCGATGAAGAAGAGGGAAGCGTACGGTGACTCGACACGTGCCACCCACGGTGAATTACAGTATTCGCGATCGCAGGAGATCCGCCGCTGCGACACGATCACCGGGGCCACCGGTAGTTGGGACGCGCGCGGACCGAGATCGGAATTCTTGATCGAGCAGCCATGAAGAGGGGAGGGGGAGATGGATATCCCCGACACCAGGAAAGGAAACCATTCGTCCCCGCCGAATCGATGCTTTTCCCCCTCCCTCGTTCACTATCTCGCAACGAAATCTCGCCGTCCAATCGGCCGGTGGATCGTCGTAGATCGCAGGTTTCGAACTGGGTGGCAATAGTCGAGCGGTTCGGATAAGGAAGCTACTACACGAGTGCTTATATCTCAGGCGAGGATGTCAGACCCGTTAAAAGGATCCCCTAACCACGTCCCGATGTAAACAGACCTCATAAAGCAGATGGGAATTTATGTACGGGGCCGAGGATCTTACGGTTCTCCCGTTGATGTAGATACGTCGACTTTGCTATCTCTGGGGAAAAAATGGAGCATACAGGAAGCGGACCAGTGAGATTTCCAGCAGTATAGGAATAGGATAAATGCACCAACGAATGAACAGTTAAGAGATTTTGTAACTATTAAAATCGAATTTTAAACAATCGAATATACCTACGCTATAAATGTATAAAATCCACAATCTAGTCAGTACTAGACAACCTATCTCATTAGATATGATTCTTTGCAGGATCGAAAATCTGAACGTGAGTAGAAGTGTCGGTAGGATCGTGACACGTAGCTAATACTCTCCATCATACACGTTCAGATTCACAGCGCGCGATTTTCTCCTCTCCATGAAAGGCAGCGCCCGCGGCGACAGCGAGGGAACCTCTCTGCCGTCCGACAAATTTACGAACGTCCGACGAGTTTAAAACGCATTAACAGCCGATAAATTTCCGACATGCCCCAGCCAGCTCAAACGACGAAACTCTACAGAGTAATTCCCAAACGTTCCTCTCGAACAAGATCAGAATTTCGATCCTTGGATCAGGTGAACGAACAATCTTTAAACACACTTGTTAGCCCGCCCAGGATGAAATCAACTGGTGACACGGAACAGGGAACCGCGTTCAATTCGATCCGTATTCTCGATAACCCCATCGGCGTATGTACATACATACACTGACGAAATCGAACGTCACTGATGCGAATCGAAAAATGATGCCCGCCAATGGCACCGAAAACGCTCGACGTTTGGCTTGATTCCAGCCACGCGAACGGAGCCTTTTCGCAACCAAATTATTTCTGGTTCGATTCAGCTCAAACATATTCACCCCGAGGACAACTACATTATTAGAATCGTCGACACTCTCTCTATCCGTTCGTTCATACCTCCGATTCCGAAACGATCTGGCGGCCAGCGACGATCGAATACGAGAGTGGCACGGAGAGAAGAAGGTCTCCACGAAGCCAATCGACGCTGGAAAAATATCCTGGCGGGTCGGCGGAACGGGGGATGATTTAGGTGGTTTAATGTCGTTTCAAGGCTGTCTTCGAGCGGGACACGACGATCCATCGATCCTCGTAAATTGACCAGCCCCGCGGCAGTAAAGAGCAAAGCAGCGAATGGCAAACGTGCCCACCACGCGAAACTGTTAGTTTAAACCGTTCCTCCGGCAGATTTACCATAGAACGCTAAAGCGCCGCGCGCTCGCGATAATTTTATTTCGTACCCGGCCCCGTGTAAGCCGTTCTGTACCTTCTCCTCCTATTCGGCTCGGCTATATCCCCGTCGTGCGTGTAAACCGCGTGTGTATCGCGACCAACGGACATATAATATGCAACGGCGGACACGAGAGCATCCTCCTCCGTGTGAGCTACGGGGCCGACGATGGGCACCCTTGTGCGGGGAAATCGCGAGAGATAACTGAGGAATGGAGACGAGGCGGATGATCGAGCTCGTGAGCAAGAGGAACGGAGAAAAATGAAGATACGAAGGGCGAAACATCGGGGGTGGCCGATGACGGAATTATCGACTCTCAGGAGAAAGTTTGTGGATCTAATCTTCTTTTTCGATTGCTTTGGTAGAGTGTCCAGGTACTATCTGGTGTACAGAAAGGAACGGATTAGATGGAAAAGACACTGGACGAAGAATTTACCCTTGTATCCGTAGCGTATGGGATTCGGAAATTAACTGGAGTAGTGGGTTAATTTTACGCTGATCCTAAAAAATAAGTAGAACACTCTCCTGAAATGTATCCCCTATTGTTCTGTGAAATTTTTTTAACAAACTCACAGAACACAACAATTAATGGGAATCGAGTATCCTACTTGGGTCACGTTAATCTAGAGACAGGATACTAGAGACTTATGCAGATCCTAGCAAAGGAAGGGCCACATAACCAAAGAAGGTATACACAGTCGCGGGACCGAGAGTCCAAACAAAGAAGTTAAACGGGAATTAAGGGCAACAAGAACGGTAAAGGGAAATGGACGTCGCCGGGGGAAAAAACGAACGGCGGGAAAACACGCGAGAACAAACACAGCGACGCAGTAAAAGAGAATAGAGAGGAGCGCGGAGGATAGGATTGAGGCGCAGAAACAAAGGGACCACTGAGGGATGTAGGGGAGAGAGGGGAATAGGTTGCAGAAAACGAAAGGGCAGAAATCTCGCGGCACTGGGACGGAGGAGGAGGTGGGAGGGGAAAGTTAACAGCGTGTATTTAAGAACGTTCGCGTTATACTCGGCTTTT